AAACATATGAGAAAGTGTTAACCTTTCAAATAGGGAAAGGTGTGTAAACTAAAATATAATGACCCACTAGGATGGCTATTCTTAGAAAAACAGAAAATAAGTGCCGACGAGGATGTGGAGAAATTGGAACTCTCCTGCATTGCTGGTGGGAATATAAAATGGTGCAGTTGCTGTGGCAAACAGTTTGGCACTTCCTCAAAAAGTTACACACAGAATTACTATAAGACCCAACAATTCCACTCCTAGTATACACCCAAGAGACCTGAAAGCTGGGACTCCAGCAGATACTTGTACACCAGTGTTCACTGCAGCATTATTCACAATAGCCAAAAGGTGGAAACAACTCAAATGTCCATCAACAGATGAATGAACAGTCATAAAGAGAAGTAGAGTTCTGATACATGCTACAACGTGGATGAACCCTGAAAATACTATGTTGAGTGCAATAAGTCATATACAAAAGTATAAGTATTGTTTATGATCCCACTTATATGAAATACCTAGGACAGACAAACGCATAGAGACTAAAAGTTATTAGTGGATACCAAGGAACGGGGGGAGGGGTGAATGGGGACTTACTGCTTAAGGGGTGCTGCATTTCTGTTTAGGGTGATGATAAACTTTTGGAAATGGACAGTGGTGACAGTTGCACAAAATGGTGAGTATAATTAATATCACCAAATTGTACACTCAAAATGTTTAAATGGCAAATGTTTTATTATATATATATTTCACCATAACAAAATTTTTAAAAAATATAATGAAAGACTATTTTTACCTATGAAATTAAAAATTGTAATAGTCAATGATGGTCAAAATGTGATGAGAACAGCTTCTGAAAAGAAATCTGGCAATACAGGCTTATGGGTCTTTTCAGCTATATTTCTACTTCCAGGATTCTATCATGAGAAATTAGAAATATGATCAAAGATTATATTCACCTCTCAATAACAACCAAAAAAATCTGAAAATAACCTTAAAGTCCCCAGTACGGGAAAGGTTAAAAAAAAATATGGTACATCACATAACAGAATATTATAACAGCCATAAAACTCATATTTTACAAAAATGGAAGTGTTCACAACAAAATATTCAATAGGAAAAAACAAATTCAATGTAATCTAAATTTAGCAAAATATGTTTCATATTTTTACTAACACATATAGATGTATTTTATTGTTGTTGTTAGCTGCCATTGAGTTGATTCCAACTCAGAGACCCTACAGGACAGAGCAGAACTGCCCCATAGGGTTTCCAAAGCTGTAAATCTTTATGGAAGCAGACTGCCATGTCTTTCTCCCACGGAGCAGGTGGTGGGTTCAAACAGCAGACATTTAGGTTAGGAGCCAAGTGCTTAACCACTGTGCCACCAGGGATATAGTATATATAAAATACTGATTATGACATATAGTAAAATATTATAGCATTTATGTTTGAGTGGTAAATTATAGATTTTTTTCTGTATACTTCTCAGTACTTCTCCTTTTAAAAATAATAGTTGGATCTTTTATAAGCAGGAAAAAAATGCACAACAGGAAAAGAAACATTTCTAGGATTTGAGAAAAAGTTAAATGGAATTGCCAATAAAAATGGAAATACATGCAAACGGAGGGAACTCACTGTTGGCATTTGGGAAGAATTATTTGGGGATCCAAACAGCACAAAGTCCACTTTGGGGTTATATTAGAGCTCATTTTAAAGGAGGTGTACATCAAGAAAAATTTGATATTCTGAAACACCATTTAATGCTATTTTATAAAGTCCAAAACAACATATATTAATCAACTAGGTCCATGTCCATCTTCACTTCTTTGGTGTATTTTCATGCGATCAATTCTGTTCACTATTTTAAGAAGTACAGTGGTGGACCAGAAAGCATTCTGGAAAAAATTTAATTTTCAGTCCTGCTTTGCTCTGCCACTTCTTGGGTTAGACATTAATCACTCTGAGTATCTTTCTGTATGAAGAAAATGAGGCTAATGATACCTTCCTTAATTACTTCACAGAGGTATTGTACATCAAATGAAATTATGTGTATGAAATCATTCTACTTTTCAATGATCATTGATAAATTTTAATAAACTGCTAAAAACATGGTTACTTGTTCATATATTAATTCAACTCTAGAAAATGAGGAGAAAGACTTATTGTTGTTAGATGCCGACGAGTCGGCTTCAATTCATAGCGACCCTATCTATGTACAACAGAACGAAACACTGCCCAGTCCTGTGCCATCCTCACAATCGTTGCCATGCCTGAGCCCATAGTTGTAGCCACAGTGTCAATCCATCTAGTCAAGGGTATTCCTCTTTTTTGCTGACTCTCTACCCCAAGCATGATGTCCTTCTCCAGGTACCAGTCCCTCCTGATAACATGTCCTAAGAACGTGAGACGAAGTCTCACCATCCTCGCTTCCAAGGAGCACTCTGGCTGTATTTCTTCCAAGATAGACTTGTTTGTTCTTCTGGCAGTCCACGGTATATTAGATATTCTCTGCCAACACCATAATTCAAAAGCACCAATTCTTCGGTCTTTCTTATTCACTGTCAAGTTTTCACATGCATATGAGGTGATTGAAAACACCATGGCTTGGGTCAGGCGCACCTTAATCCTCAAAGTGACAGCTTTGCTTTTCAATACTTTAAAGGTCTTTTGCAGCAGATTTGCCCAATGCAATAAATCGTTTGATTTCTTGACTGATGCTTCCATGGCGCTGACTGTAGATCCAAGTAAAAGGAAACACTTGACAACTTCAAAATTTTTCTCCGTTTATCATGATGTTTCTTATTGGTCCAGTTGGTGAGCATTTTTGTTTTCTTTATACTGAGGTAAAAGACAAAGGGAATTAAAAACTGCCCATTTTCATGCTTCTTACTGGTGGAAGTACCAATAAAAAGGCAGGAGAAATTACACCTTGGAGAGAAGTCCTTGGCATATCTCAAAGGAGATCTGAGCGAGCTCCTCGTGTCCAGTGACATTAAGTTAGACACCCAATAATGAATCATTATCTCAAGAGCAGAAATACAGAGATAAAATGGGTAACAAGCTACTCATTGTCATCTGCGTGCCCCTGTGATTATTCTAGGATCTAAGCCTCCATAGGAGTCCCTGGGTGGTGCAAACGGTTAGTGCGCTCAGCTGCTAACTGAAAGGTTGGAAGTTTGAATCTACCCAGAGGTGCCTAAGAAGAAAGGCCTGATGAAAAATCAGCCATTTACTGCTAAAAAATCAGTCATTCAAAATCCTATACAGCACAGTTCTACTCTGACACATATGGGGTTACCATGAGTCAGAGTCAACTCCATAGCAACTGGCTGATTAAGCCTCTATAGTTATCGCTGTCATTTGAAAAGGAAACTGTGAAAAATAATGGCCATCAGCAGCCTCTTTTCCCATTAATGTAAGAAATATATTTTACTTGGTTGACATCACAGTATCAGTAGAAATGCTTTAATCTAAATCTAGTTTGCTTTCTATTTATTTCAAATACAACTGAATAACTTTAAAATATTCGAGATGGCCAACAGGAAAAAAAAAAGCAAATTCTGAGTGGGAAAAAGAGTCCACCCTTTTTTAAAGCTGAACCCCCTTATTATCTTGGTCTCAAAATGATTAGGACAAAGAATAGAAAAGATATCAAAACCTTTTTTAATAGCAAATTCATTCTAGCCCTTCATGATATAAATTGAAGCAATAGGATAGTTCTTACTTATGACTTCACAAAAACCTAAAGAAAACCAAACTTAATACTTTTCTTATATGTAATTCCTAACCATTTCATATACTTTAAAATAATAAATAAAATTTCTCCAATAAATTATTTGTGTCATTATTACTGTATAAAAACAAAGCACCCACTTTCTACAAATACTAACTTTCTACTGCCAAGAGAAAACCTTGCAATCCTCAAAACAAAAATTTCTGGAAATAAACTGAACATTTGGTCCTAAAGTCTTAAGTCAGAACATTTCTCATCAGAATGATTAATCTTTACGAAAAGACAGGAAGGCAAGACAGAGCCACCCACTTAGACGTTTTCATTCTTTGAAAAGAAAATGCCACTCTAGTTCATGAACTAGAACCATCATTTGTAAAAAGAACTATGCAATTCATCAAGAGTACACTTTGATTCTAAGATTAACAAGATCATTATCTTTCTTATTCTTTGCATTGAGAAAAATGTACTGACATTAAAAACTGGTTCTAGTATAGTTTTACTTAGAAATCTGATAAACCTTGGGCCGGGAATCAGACAACTTGTGATAACAAGGTTACTTTATTTTTTTCCTTTTCTGCTTGCTTGAAAAAAAAGAAACAACAAACTATGACATTAAAAAAAAAAAAAAAAAAAAAAACACATTGATTTACACAAGACTTATTTTTACCCAACTGTGCTATTCCCATGGGTTAGAGTGGAGAGCACGTTATTTTTCAGATAAGATGCTAAGGGCCCCATGGCTATCCTAAGCGTGTGTGTGTGTGTGTGTGTGTGTGTGTGTGTGCGCGCGCGTGCGCGTGTGCGTGCGTGTGTGCGTGTGCGCGCGCATGCGCGCGCACAAGACGTAAAGCAAAGACATTACAGTGGTCATACAGAAAGGCAGAAAAGAAGAAGTGTGAATATGCAAGTAAAGGGAAGAGATTTCCTGCAGGCTCTAGAAGTTAGCTACTGGCTTATCTAAAAGCTTTAACCTAAAAGGAGTCAAATCAGTTGATTCTTAAAGATTTGGGTTTGATGCCTTTTCTTCTTATTTTCCTCTCTCACTTTTGAACAGCTTAGTAAGCATGCTCTAACCTTGAGAAAGCTCTGCTCCAGAGAAAAGAAGAGAGTACTAAATTAGTGATTCAAGGTGAGTTATGAGAAGGGAGGGAGTCATTCAAAGAGTTAAGTGAAGGTGGGGAAGCAGGGGGGTGGAGGCTAGTAGAGGCAACAAGTACAGAAAAGCAAAAGAAAGAGGGTGCAGAGAAAAAAACTGGTAAAATAACTGGTAAACGTTATTTACCTGTGTTATTTTCTCTATTCCCTGGAAGCTGTGCTTTTCAAAATGTTCCGCTATATTTAAGAAGGTGTGACGTTCTAGATAGCAGCAATTACTCAGGACTATCAAAAGCCGTTGTTCCTAAAAGCAAAACAAATATTTAGAAAATTACATTTATAATAACAAACTGAGAGTATAACAAACAATACTTAACACTAATTGAGTTTAATTATAATCTCTTGCTAATTAACGTCAACATTCAATGTTTTGTTTTCTTGTCTGCTTCTTTTCCAATAGTAACATAGGGAGAAACATAATAAAATTTTACAATTCTTCTAATGGCTCATTATTACATACTATATCAAAGGGTCAAATAATGGTCCATTTGAAATCTAACAGCTATACAAAAGAACAGATTGCTATAACAGTTAACCAGTAAAGCAGGATCAGCTGTTCTTATGAAAGGAGTTCTACTTTATTGATTATTACACTTAATACTTTGTGGCAACAAAAAGAAGGGTTACATAAATTGATATTTATTTTTAAATAATCACCTAGAAAATGTAGTAACTATTATAAACCAGTTTATAAATTTTTCATAATTTGGATATGACAGCCAAAAACCAAACCCACCGCTGTTGAGTTGATTTCGACTCACAGTGACCCCATAGGACAGTATAAAACTGCCCCACGGGGTTTCCAAGGCTGTAATCTTTATGGAAGCAGACTACCACAGCTTTCTCCTGCGGAGTGGTTGGTGGGTTAAAACTGCCCTTTGGATCAGCAGTCGAGTGCTTAATCACTGCGTCACCAGGGCTCCTCATTTATATGATGGTCTCCTTCAAAATACTTAGGTCTTTAAAGATTTTTTTTAAGGTGTGCAGAGCAAGAATAAGAATAGTCTCCATTTTATGAGGAGTAAGGAGTTGCAGAGGTCAAGTGATTCCTACAACAGCGAAGTATTCAATGTCAGTGATGGAGAAGGCTTAGAACCCAGTTTTTTCCAAGTTTCACCAGTGTTTTATCCGCTTAAAAGATTTTATTATCAAAATTACCAGACCCAAATGCTGATGAATACAATATCCTTTTACAGTTCAGAAGAAATATTTTTGCAAATAAAATTCTAAGAATGGAGCTTGGGACCACTATTGAGATTCGCCTATGTGCTCTAAAGTTTGACAGCATTCTCTGGAATCATTATGACTAATTTAGTGCCTTGATTTAAGATCTCTTGACTAAAAACAAAAGCAAAAACCACCTTCCAGGAAAAGTTCTCACCCATGTTTTGCTTACTGAACAATTTAAATTAATTTAATACAAAAAATGTAGAAATAAATGGTCCTGCTCTTTGAGCATATATATCTCCCAATAATTTATTTAGTGCTATCAAATTTAAAAAACGTTTCTAAATTTATTTAAAATGTTCCTATCTTTATTTCTGGCAGAGTGTAGCCTATACAATGCCTTTTTTGGTCATCAAAACATACAATTAAAAGCCTGAGGATTATTAAGGTAGCTTCAAACAAATGGAAGGTTGTTAATGGTCCCGAATTAATCTATGGAGGTGAAAGAGGAGTGTTATACATAGCACAACCCTGGCTACCTTGTTTTATATAAACACATTTTGAGAGCTAGAAAAAAAGCAGTAAGCAGCACTGGAAATGTGCATGGTCAAACTAGGGCAGAGGACAACCATATTTCCTCCTGCCCTCAAGCCTGGTACAACTATAATTTGCCTTTTCTTGTCTTTTTATATAAGTGAGGTCATATAATGTTTGTCCTTTTGTGATTGACTTCTTTCACTCAGCATAATGTCTTCAAGCTCCACCCAAGACTTCATTTCTCCTACTGGCTGACTAGTATTCTATTGTACTAGAATATTTTCTTTATTTATTCATCTGTTCATAGGCATTTAGGTTGTTTCCACCTTTTGGCTATCATGAACAGTGTTGCAATGAGCACTGGTGTATAAATTTCTGTTTGAAGCTCTGCTTTTAAGTCTTTTGGGTATATACCTAGAAGTAGAATTGCTGTATTCCACAAAAGCTGTACCACTTTGCATCCCCCCCCAGCAATGGATAAGGGTTCCAATCTCCCCACATCATCACCAACATTTGTTATTTTCTTATTTTGTTAATCTTAGCTATCCTAAGCCAAAAAAACAAAAACAAAAAACCAAACTCGTTGCCGTCAAGTTGATTACAACTTATAGCATCCTAGTGGGAGTGAAATGGTATGTCATTGTCATTCTGATTTTCATCTCTCTGATGGCTACTGACTTATAGCATCTTCTCATGTGTTTGGTGACCATCTGAAATGTCCTCTTTGGTGAAATGTCTATTCAAGCCCTTTGCCCATTTTATGACTGGATTATTGGTATTTTTGCTGTTAAGTTGTCGAAGTTTTACGTGTATTTTGGTTATTAGATTATTGTTGGCTATATGGTTGCTGAAGATATTCTCCTAGTCAGTAGCTTCTCTTTTCACTTTTTTGTAAAGTCCCAAACTAAATTTTTAATCTGTTTCTAAAATCTTCATTTCTTCCTATGTTCTATAGCTAAGTGAATTACGTATCATTATCCAACTTGTCATCCAAGTAATAAAATCAAGAATTAAAAAAAAAAAAATCACATTGATTCCTTTAAACTAATATATTTTGTATAACCAACTCAGGAATTCTAAGTACAAATACAATAATTCTGGAAATTCAGGTCATATATGTTGTTTCTGAAGACATACACAGCCAGAGAGGGTTGTTTTCTTAAGACAGTGTTATGGATTGAACTGTGTCCCCAAAGTATGCGCTGTAAATCCTAACCTCTGTGCCTATAGTCCTGTTTGGAATGAGTTCTCTTTGTTATGTTAATGAGGCAGGATTAGTACAGGTTGTTATTTTCAATCAATCTCTTTTGAGATATTAAAGACATTACATGCAAGCTAGAAAGCAGAGACAGAGGAAGAGGGATACCAAGTCACATGAAAATGGCCCAGGAACAAAGGCTCAGACGAGACAAGGACCTTCCTCTAGAGTCAACAAAGAGAGAAAGTCTTCCCCTAGAGCCAGCGCCCCGAATTTGGACTTCTAGCCTCCTACACTGTGAGAAAATAAATTTATGTTTGTTAAAGCCATCCACTTGTGGTATTTCTGTTATAGCAGCATTAGATAACTAAGACACATAGCTAGAGTTTGGATTTCAACAGCTGAATTTATACATGTGATAAAGTATGTGTGTGAATTCTCCCTAAATATATGTATACATTAATAAATATGTACATACATATGTGTGTGTATGTGTGTGTGTGTGTATACACATGTACATATGTGTATATATATGTACACACACACAAGGTGGTTTGGTTTGGTTTTTGCCATGGAACCCTGTGTTCAGATAAAATGCTATTAGGGAACTTAAAGAAAACAAACTCAGAGCTTCTCTGGTTGAAGATGCAAGAAACATAGTGGAAACAGGTGCCCTGTCCTTTGCCTCTTAACCAACCTATCGTGGCAACTTTCTTTGTTCAGAAAACTACTAAAGCACCTATTGCACACTCAGGAAAACTACACAGATGCAGATTCTATGCAGAATTTTTTAAGTTGCAACTTCAGCCAAAAAGTTTGAAGTATGGAATACATGTAAAAACTACTTTTACTAAAATTTTCACAAAACATAAAATAGTACCAAAGTATAGAATACTTTGCTAGAATAGTAACACAGTAATATTCAAAACAATTTAGAAGGATATATAAAACAGCCATTACACAGCTTTAAAATGCGAGTTTTTACTTTGTATCGATTATCTTACTTACAGAAGTTAAACTGAAGTCTTCATGGATACTTCCATACAAATCAGGAGAAGAAACATCAACAGAAAGACTGTAGGTAAAAGCAAACAAGAAACAGTACAATTAAAGCATTAAAATAAAAAAATGCAATAAAACATGTAAATCTGACTTTAAAATCTTTTGGTCAAAAGACACATAACTTTAAGTTTTCTACATTGAACAATTAACAACTCAAAGAAGGCACCATGGGCTATAGGTTAACATGGCCTTATGAATTTTGTTTAAGGGTCCCTCCAATAGTGTCTTAATTAAATTTAAAAACAAATCACTAAGGAGGTAAAAATGTCATATAACTTAAATTAACCTACGTTTTTTGCCTATCAGGATCTCTAGGGGGCTTTTTCAAGCTTACTTTCATAGTAGTTTCTTACAGGTGAGCTGAGTTAGGAAATAAGTTGATAACTCACAAAAGTAGGAGAAGGTGACACCATAAATCCACGGATTAATTTATGGATATAACACAATCATAATAAACATCTCAACAGGATGTCTTTCCTTTAAACCTGAACAACTGATTTAAGAATTCATATGGAACACTAAAGAGATGAACCTATCAAATAATATTTTAAAATAGAGAAGCAATAAAAGGATACTTAATCTGAAAGACATTAAAACTAACAATTAAAAGAGAACAAACATATTTAAATATATACAAATGAATGGAACAAAGATAAAGTTCAGAAATATGTTTCACTATGTATTAGAATTCAATGACATATAAAACAGATATTGTAACAAAACAGTAAGAAAGAAAACACTTATTCAATCAATAATGGCAGGGAACTGATTAACAATACAAATTCCTAGTAGATTAAAGAGTTCAACATATCAACACCAAATCAAAGAAAAACTGGAAATTTCCTACAGAGGTGATAATCTTATATACAATGAAATGAAAACCAATACCAGGAAATAGACAAACATGGAAAAATTCTCAAACTTTCAATTAAAAAATTCTGAGGTGTTTAATTCAGTATTATCTGCATCAGAGCTTAAATCTTAGGCACAAAGAAGTTACACATGTTAAGTATCATACAGAAGAACTAGATTTTAAAAAATCCTTAGAACAGCATTTTAAAGAAATTATCACATGGATTTGTAAGCATCAAGAATTAATGTGGAGAAGAGTCCAACATGGCACCCTAGACAGACGTATCATGCCATCCCTCTGCAGCAAAAACACGAAAAACTAAGGAAAACAGATACAAACGTCAATTCTGGAATCCTAAGCATCAAATGAAGGGATAAAAAACTAGATCAAACAAAGAATGGAAGAAGAAATGGAACGAAAACGTAACGAGACATACTGAGTGCAGGTCCCCTGCCACCTAACATAACATAGCTTCGCCATCTTGGAGCACAGCCAGAAATGACCCCAGGTAGGGAGTACAGGAAAGCAAGTTCATGGAGATCCCAACAGGAGACACAATACCCTCCTGTACGCTACTCCCCCTTCCTGCCAGCCCTCGAGGTGCTTCTGTGGCTACAGCATCCCTGGCTCAGGCCCGCTGCTGCTCCAGGTTCGCACTGCCTCTCCCCTTCCACCACTCAAGCAGCTGCTGAATGGAGGGAAGTGAGCTCGCACCAGTCCCCATCCAACACCCCCATCTCTCTGACTAAGGGGCTGTGAATGCTCCCACACTGCTGGACCAACACCAGGAGGCAGACAGCGCCTGCCCACTCTGCCCTCAGCCACCTCACCAATTCAGTGTACAGTGAAGGGGGCTCACCCTACCTGCTGCTGCCTTTCCCACCCAGACAAGGTGGTGAGAGCTACTGTGACCACAAATGAGCAAGCAGCAAAGCATGCCTGGCTTGCCTGCCCTGACATATCAAAAGAAAACAAAGAAGCAGGACAAAACAAAAGAACACACAATCAATACAGAAAACAGTACCTTAGTGTCTCTGAGACAGTAGACAATACCAAAGCATATAAAAAAGCACGACAAGATGGCTCCGGCAAGCGACCAAAACAAAAAAAAACAGGTGACCTCTGGTAGAAGAAAAGACGTTGGAACTACCTGATATGGAATTCAAACGATTAATATTTAGGCTCTCCAAGAGATTAAGAAAGAGATAAAGGAAAACACAGACAAAACCAAGGAAAAAAGACAAAATCATGCAAAACACAAGACAAAAACAAAGAAACATATCCAAAATCAAGAATAATAAAGACAAAGCAATAGAGGAATTCAGGAAAATAATATCAGAACAAAACATCAAAATAAATAAAGAATTAGAAATTCATACAAAAACAGCAACTAGAAATCCAAAAGGTAAACAACAAAATTTCAGAAATCGACAACTCAATAGAAGATTTCAGGTGCAAATTTGAAACACTGGAAGACAGCATCAGTGAGATTGAAGACAAATCAATAGACACTACTTTGAGGAAAAATCAGAGAAAAGAATGAAGAAAACCTAAGAATTATGTAGGACACAATCTAGAGCAAAAATTTGTGTATGATCAGAGTTCCAAAAGGGAGGGGGATGGAAAACACAGAGAAGACTGTTGAAGATTTTCCAAAAGAAAATGTCCCAAGTATCATGGAAGATGAAAAGCTATCCAAGAAGCTCAACAAACCCCATATAAGATAGATACCAAAAGACAGTCACCAAGACATATCATAATCACATATGCCAAAAGCAAAGACAAGCAAAGAATCCTGAGAGCAACTTGAGATAAAAACAAGTCACTTACAAAGGGGAAACAAACGCTACCCTCTGATTACTCGGCAGAAACTAGGCAGGCAAGAAGACAATGGGATGACATATATAAAACCTTGAAAAAACTAAAACCTGCTAACCAGGAATAATATATCCTGTAAAACTCTCTCTCACATAAGATGGTGAAATTCGGACATTTCCAGATAAACAGAAATTAAGAGAATTTGTAAAAACCAAACCAAACTTACAAGAAATATTAAAAAGAGTCATTTGGTTATTAGAGAACCAACATCAGACAACAACCTCAGGCTAGGACACAGGACAGCATCAGCCAGATATCAACCTAGGTAAAGAACTCTCAATAATAAAACAAAACTTAAAGATTTAAAACAGGGAACAGGAGACGTCAATCTGTAAATGATGACAACCTCAAAACAATAAGAGAGGGAATAAATGGTGCAGGTATAGGACTTTCAAATGCAGAGGAAATTAAGGTGATATCAAGTAATGACTGGTTCAAATTTAGGAATATAAGGGTAAATTTCAAGATAATCAAAGAAATCTAACAATCTACTTGCTCATCAAAATAAAAAGGAAAAACAAAGTCTCGGTAAACACAAAATGTACGAAAATGAAAGAAAAGAAAAGAAAATCCACAATGAAAAGGAACTCAGTACAGGAAAGAGGAACAAAAAAAGCATCAGCACCACAAAAAAAAGGCATAACAATATAACAATAATAAACTCATATCTATCAATAATCATACTGAATGTAAATTGTTTAAATGTGCTCGTATAAAGAGACAGTGGCAGAATGGATTTTAAAAAACTAACCCATCAATATGCTGTCTACAAGAGACACACCTCAGACACAAAGACATAAATATATTAAAAATCAAAGGACAGAAAAAAATATGTCAAGCAAACAGTAACCAAAAAAGGACAAGAGTAGCAATACTAATCTCAGATAAAATAGACTTTAAGGCAAAATCATCCATAAAAGACAAGACATTATATAATGATTAAAGTGACAATCCACCAAGAAGACATAACCTTAATATATACCTACGCACCCAACAAGAGGGCTCCAGAACACATAAAATAAGCTCTAACAGCACTGAAAAGAAAAACAGACAGCTCCACAATAATAGTAGAAGACTTCAACACACTACTCTTGGTAACAGAACATCTAGAAAGAAATTCAACAAAGATACAGAACATCTGAAGACCAAAATCAACCAGCTTCACCTCATAAATATATACAGAACGGTCCACCCAATAGCAGCTGTCTTAGTTATCTAGTGCTGCTATAACAGAAATACCACAAGTGGATGGCTTAAACAAAGAGAAATTAATTCTCTCAGTTTAGGAGGTTAGAAGGCTGAATTCAGGATGCCAGCTCTAGAAGTCACCTTCAGGTACCAGGGCATGATGTCTACAGCTGCTCCCTGGGCTAAGGACCTGCTAGCATTATCAGGGCAGCAAATGACAGATCATCTCAATTACCATGGAACATTTTGGCAAAACCCAAAGGGCCCGGGTTTGTACTTTTCTACATCTAATCATAGTCTTGTCATTATTTTCCAGGTCAAGGAGCTTCTCAGCACAGGGACCCCGGTTCCAAAGGACACACTATTCTCCTGGCTCTTGTTTCTTGGTGGTATGAGGTTCCCCGTCTCTCTGCTCTCTTCTCTCTTCTATATCTCAAAAGAGAATGACCTACGACACAACTTAATATTGTAAATTGAGTCCTGCCTCATTAACATAACTGCCTCTAATCCTGCCTCATTAACATCATAGAGTTGTAGGATTTACAACACACAGGAAAATCACATCATATGACAAAATGGTGGGCAATCACACAATCCTGGGAATCATGGCCACTCAAGGTGACACACATTTTTGGGGAACACAATCCAATCCATAACATTCTACCCTTTGGCCTCCCAAAATTCATATGCTTCCCAAATGTAAAATACATTTTGATCACAAATGGGAGAAACTGGAGGGAAAGAAGGGATAAACAGGTACCAAACAAGTCAGCAGAACATACTACATCAGCTCTCAAGGCTAGAAAATAATCCTTTGTTCTCTGAGATCATTTAGACAATGGCCCTGCACTCCAGACTCTAAGTAATAGCCACACTCTCTGGATTCTGAGTGGAGGCCCCTAGGCCCTGGACTTCAGCTCCACCTTCCAGGCCCACTGGAAAGGCAACTCAGCTCCCTCGAATTTGGGCAGCCCCATTCTCCAAGTCAACCTGAGTGGCAACTCCACCCTTTGAAATCCCAGAGGTCGTGGCCATACCCTTTGAGACTAAGGGGGCTTTGCTTCCTGTGTTCCTTGTCTCTTCAGCTTCTGCTT